TTTTTTTTTGTTCCAAGTAGATGAAGATTCACTTGACAAAGAAGTTAAAAGAGTTTTGACACATTTTCCCTGAGTTGTAAAGTGAGATACATCCACTTCAGGACCACAGCGTCACGAAGTCGAGTGCGAAAATATGATTTGATGTCTGCAAAAGATCTTCAACGAACTGCGTTGGCAGTTGACTCTGACTCCGAAGATGATCTTTTCGACCCTCAACCACTAGATAGACAGAAATTGGTGACGGTCAACAATTCTTAGGTGATCTTACGTTACTTTATTTCATATTCGAACGATGACGCTCAATTTGTGAGCAATTAACAATCAAACTTTCAAATTGTTGAAACAAGATATGAATTGATGTGTAACGAAATACATCAGATTTTTTTCACCGCTTTTTTTCTTTCCCAAAACAACTGTGGTGCCATCGGAGGCTGTATATTGCATGTTTCCTTTTTTCAAAGTTATTGTTCTATACATTATGACAATATGACGTTATGACACATGCTGTTTTATCTAAGATGTTTTGTGCAATTTTTGCCATGCAGGTATGGTCTATTTTGATCTCTCTTGTTATTTTCCCTCAATTTTGTAAATAAACGTTCTAATAAATCAAATTTGAAGGAACAAGGACAAGTTTAAGCATATTTGAAGCGATTCGAGGGCACACCGATATCAGACTCCGTTTTCCATTGACATTAGACTAACTAGTCGGACTATAGTTGACTACTTGCTCAGTATGTTAAAAATAATTCCTCTAAACCATAAAATATCAGAATTTATATGTACATTTTATAACAAAAATTTTGCTGATGAACTAACATTACTCTAAAGCAATCAATTGCACCGAAACAAGTATATATAAACATAGAACACCACTGTGGAAAAAATTCAACCTTAACAGTATTTTTCAGAAATGAGTTAACAATGTATGCGCGAAAACAAAACGAACCGGGATGATGATAACAAATACGCGGATCGAACAAATCGATAATTCAATGTGAAAATCGATGAGATCTCTGTAGGATAGAATGAGTGGGAGGGGCCCGTAAAATGGAGGGAAGTGAGAAGAGTGGGAGGATATTGACGAGGAATACGCGGTTGAACCGGAAGAAAAAAATGCACGGGTTTCAATTTAGGGCACAGTCGACAGCACACTACGCACAGCATTGCGCCGAAACAAAACAAAACCGACCACAGATTCGAAAGCTGAACACTTCGCTCCAATTCTCTCGACATATCTGTGCTCCGGGATAATCGTTATTCATGATGGGTAGAACGGTGCCGAAGTGTCGATGATGATGTCGCATCAGTGTCCCCACTGGTGACCGTGACACGACCGTTAATCAAAGTTTTTTCTTCAATGATCGTCGGTCCACCAGCAATGACTGGAGTGACTCGCTGCTCATCCGTATCGCACTCGGAATTGAGGGACTCACTTATGTCCGATGTGGGCATGCACTTAGCAACGCCGTTACGAGGTGCACCGTTGGCCAACAATGTCGTCATCTGAAGATGTGATTGTGGAAAAAAAA